AGCTGAAGGAGAACATCCGGTTGTGATTTCCGGTTTAGCCCGTCCGTCGGTAAAACCGCTCCGTGAGAAACAGCAGGAGACGGGAATGTCTTATGGCAACAATGATTGAGGAAAATGGTCCTTCGACACATGTATGTTTTAACAAATGTTTTGRATATACACGCAGCTGTTCGGGCTGGTTTACGTCTCGTAAACGCACACAAAAAAGTTTTCTTTTGGAGACAAACTTCAACTTTGTCAAAGCTTTTAAGTGTAKCTAAACGTTAGCCGCAAGCTAACAAATTAGCTTACATGATGTGTTTTCTGTAGCTCTGTAAAGTTGATTGTTGCTAATGTTTACGTAAAATCGATGCTTAATATTACTTGATGACATTTAATGATTTAATGGATTTTCTATATGGAAGTATAACAACATGATGTTTGATTAATTAGACTGTTAGCAAAAAAACCCACTTAAAATTAGTCTTGTTGACATAAGCAGCAGGTGGTCTGTAAGAGTAAATACAGACCATTTTATATTTATGTGAATGCTCAGTAGGTTTGTGGAGTATTTATTGGTGTCTTTGATTTGTGCCCCAATGCAGGACCAGTCTGAAGTGTCCTCCTCCTCTTCCACCTCGTCCTCCTCTTCCTCTTCTTCCTCCTCCCAGGCCAGGCAGAAACTGGAGGGGCTCCTCAACAAGAACATGAGGATCCGGATGACAGATGGACGGACTCTCGTGGGTCTCTTCCTCTGCACAGACAGGGACTGTAATGTCATCCTCGGCTCGGCTCAGGAATTCCTCAAATCCACAGGYAGGAACAATTTCCTCCATTTCTGGACATGATGGTCTCTCTCTTTCTCTCTTTTCACGTGTTAWTGATGCATATCAGAACATTTTTCCATGTTTTTGTAGATTGTCTCAGTTAGTAAAAGCTCAAAAAGACATGACTATATATTTTGGATCAGCCAAAATTTAGAAGTTTTATCACTTAGATTATCCTCTGCTCTYGTTAGTTTTTGTGGCTCTTAGTGTTCTGCGTTGTCGTTTAGCTTTAACGTCTCCAAATCAGCTTCTGCAGATCTCAGCAGCCATTCAGCACTCAGCATTCATTTTCTCTATTTATTTGAAATTGTTTTAAAGTTGAAGCAATAACGTAAATTCATTTTCTTGCCTCCAGAGTTGTATAGTAACAACATTTACTTTGTTACAGTATTTAAATAATTTGAGGATCTGAGCAAATGTAAAGCRAATTACCTGACTCAGTTTAGTGTAACCAGCTGACAGGGGTCATCAGAAAAACTGTYAATAATTAATATTTGCCACTTTGCAATTAGTGCCACATGTTGATGTTTTTTTTTGTATGCAAAGAAATGTCACTTTGAAGCACATGTGAACCCTTGACRTATTGTGTTACTAAAGATTTGCTACCAAAGCCAAAATTCAGATCATTGTTTTAAAAAATGGCTGAAATAAAGCCATTTGAATTTAGCTTTGGTGGCCATTTTGGATTTTATGTTTGAATTCAGATTTTGTTCAAGATTTTTCTTGGCTGTGGATATTTTCAAATGGCTAAAATATATCCATCCGTTATCTATACCCGCTTCTTCCTTTCAGGGTCACGGGGGTCACTGGTGCCCATATCCAGCAGGCTAAATTACAGCCCATTGTAAAATTAGCAATAGCATTAGCCGTTAGCTTTGTTGATCAGTGGTTGGCATGTGTTTYGGACCATTTTTAGCTACACCACACTATATTTCAGCACAGTAAGTCTTAAAAGGGCTAAAGTAACACTATTAACTGTATTAAACTATAATAATAGAGTTAACTGTGGCGGCCATCTTGGATTTTTGATTAATATTTAAATTAGCATCTTTTGGAAATCTCTAGATGAACGTCTGAACAGTGGGGTGACCGATCGTTYGCTGTAGCTGCATCAAAATGATGCAGTTCATTACCATTCGAGTTGCACGCGATCACTAACCTATTTATTGTTTATTTTTCAAAGCTAAGCTGAAGACATTTATTTAGAACAGCTTTTAGCATACCACACTGTTATTTTTCTACGAAATTTGTTTTTTTTTATTCATTTTTATTACTGAACCAATGGAAAGCACTTTTGTTCAGTAGTCACTGTTGTAAAGGTCTATATAAATAAAAAAATGAAAAAATATAAACAAAATGATTGATTTAGAATTTGGTAAAAAATAAAATTAGTTCCACAAAAAAAAAAAAATAATCATCTCTTTCCATCTAAAAATAGCTGAATTGCAATCAGCATGCTTTTTGGATTCTTAGCTATGATCACACAAATTTCAGCTCTATATTCTATAAAACAGCTGATTTAGAGCCATTTGAAATTAGCGCTGGTGACCATCTTGAATTTTCAAATAGGGTATGTTTTATTATTTGTATGTGGCCCCCTAAAAAAACACCTTGGTCACCCCTGTGCCAYCCACCCCTTGCAAAAAAGTCTAGCTCTGCCCCTGCTTATTTAACCTGTTAAAATAAAGAAGTTACTGTAGTTTGATTTGTAAGTACTTTTCTATTAAGGTATTTTTAACATTTGTTTATTGTTTTAAAAGTACCCTGCTTGCCTCTTTGGTGTGAGAAAATGAATAAGTTGGGAAATGAGGACAGACTTGTTCTTTCAGGTCGTATTGCTTCGGGTGTTAAACTGCTTTTCTTTTTATCTCAGACACGTTCTCCCAGGCGGAGCCCAGAGTCCTGGGCCTGGCCATGATCCCCGGGCACCACGTGGTGTCCATCGAGGTGGAGGCCGACACGTTAGAGGACACGCCGGGGTTTGCAGCCARTCACTGACGGGAGCTTCGGGACATCGCTCACGTGACCGTCTCCCGTCTGGGCCTGAGGCCCGGCTGCAGCAGAGCTGTGAAGAYGGGTCGTGTTCGGAGGATTTAACTCAAGTCTCTGCAGACAGAACCTCCATGTCCACGCTCTGGATTTAGCCATTCCGTCTGTGACTGTAGAGGAAAACATGGGCAGCAAGAGTGGGAATCACCTCAGTGTGTGTTTTAATGTGGATGTGTGTTTGTTACAGTGTTTTAAAATAAATGTCTTTATTTGAGGCTTTTGTTGCCATTTTGTTATTTTACAGACCATAAAAAAGAGARCATTTTAGTTTATCTGAACACAACTCAATTAAAGACGAAATATTAGATCAAACAGAGTGTCTGTATTTTAATACACTTTGACCACATCAGCTGATTCAGTTTGGCAACATTTTCTTTGCCACAAGAGGAAAAAAAACAAAAACTTAAAAAAAAATTCTTTAAGATTTAAATACCAAGAGCCCGTCACATTTTGGTTCACACRATAATCTGTTACAGTCATTACAACTTTAATCTGTTATTACGAAATAACAGTTTGTGCAAAAAGAAACAAAAGCATCCTGACGTGTGTCTCATATGGCTGCAACATCTGAGCCTCGTTTACAAACTGACAGTTTTCACTCTTCAGATAAATATTATCCAAATACTCGATTCATGAAGCAAAGAAGAAACTCGAGAAATTCGAGCTCCAGAGGTTTTTCATACAACCTGTTTGTCCAGCTGTGTTGAGCTGGACGACCATTTCAGCAGTGGTGGGCCGGCTAGCCAAAATGTTAGCACCGCTAACTCAATCTGCTAACCAAAGATATAGCTTTGCTAATGCTAAAAGGGTAAAAGAAAAAAAATAGAGGCTAACTTTAAATGTAAAAAATTAGTGGAAGCTAATGATAAACTTGTAATGGAAAAAAAAACTGTAGAAGCTAACAAAGAAAAAAATAGCCGAAGCTAACTTTAAACATCTAAAAATTAGCAGAAGCTAACTTTAAGCATGTTATAATAGAAGCTAATACTAAACAAGTAAAATTAGCAAAAGCTAACAGCTAATCTATCTGCAACACCTCTTTTCTTTCCAGCTGAAGACAGGTGGCACTGACACAAACCTGTTGATGTTAGCTTGTTAATTAGTGAAAGCTTGCTAGCAGTTTTCAGAGTTATTTAAAAAAAAAGCTAATCTGCTAAACAATAAATTAGTTCTGATGTTAGCGGTTTAGCAGAACCATGCCCACCACTGGTTTTGTGTCACAAAGGAGGATATCTGTACGATCACATGGTAACACTGAGCTCAAGTTCAGCCTGTTCCTTTACACACATGTAAACAGTTCTGCATGTATCAAATGTTAAATTCAAATTCTGCAGCGAGTGGGTCACATTTGTGAAATGTTGACACATTAACTGTCGGGACTTATTAATTATACAAGGATTTTTAAAAATATTCAATTCAATCTAAAAATATACATCCTAACAGCTTAGCACCAGAAATAGCTGAAACTTAAACACACTCGTTTGTGCGTCGATAAGAAGCTGCAGCTGGACAAAAATATGCAAGAAGCTTCAAAACATGTTTTAAAAACACATCATTAAGCTGATAATGTCCAAAAGGCTGCGTTTGATCTGAATTTACTGGGGCGCAAATTAAACAGGTAATATTAAACTGAATTTGTTAGCATTTTATTTGATTTTGAGCGATGGAGTGATTCACACTTTGTGAAACTTAAACAGCAGCAGGTAGCCTGTTGTGGTTTATAATTAACATTTATTCAAATTTTCTCTTTAGGCCTAAATGTTTTTCTGTTCTTTAAAATTCTTGCTTCGATACAACCTGCTGTTTTAAGAGTGAACTCTGGGCGAGCACAGGATTTTTCTTTCCTCTATATTTATTAGACTGGTGTATTTTAAGTGAAAAAAGCGCTACATGATGCATAAAACTCTCAACTTTATGTGCTCCGAGACCAGAGCAGAAAAAAGTAACATCAGAACCACGGCTATTAAAGAAGGCGGCTCAGCTGGGCTGAAGCGTTTCTATTTATAAACGAGGTTATCAGATAGCCACAGAAGACACACTTGGTTTGTGTGAAGGCTTCAAAATAAAAGCCTGCAGTAACATTTCAGGAGTGGAGAAACTGGAGTAAGTTTTCATTAAAATCAAAAGTGCAACTTTTCAAAAGTTCTTTGAAAGTAGCAGAAAGGCAGAGAAACATCAGATTACGCTCGATTCGTACATCAGGTGCTTTGTTTTGTTTTTTGTTTTGTTTTTAAATCCAGAAAAACTTAAATTCAGTCCGACACAGTCTGCTTGCAGTTTGGAACTTTTTGGACCAAACGCATAATCCTCGCTGAAAAACCAGTTTTTAAGCTTAAAGCAAAATCCAAGCCCAACCCTGATGCWGTGGTTTTAAAGATCCATAGGATTTCATTAAGTTTACATTCAGGCGTCTGATGTGAGAGGGCTGCTGTTAAAAAATACCCCGACTCCAATTCATGTCGTTCCTCTGGAGAATACTGCAAGCGAGAAAAAAACAAGACGAAGCTGTTCTTTAACCTTCTGCATTAAAAAGTGCAGGTTCAAAAAATATATATATTTATAGAATGGCACAAAAAAAGAAAACACCCACGGCTTCAGAACCACCACCTTCCAGATTTCTAACAAAAAAAATAAACTTCATTTTCATCTGCAGCGTCGACTGGACTCACCGCTGACCACAGTTAGTTTCTACGGTGAGAAGTCCATAATTTAATAAAAATAAATAAAAAAAGCTTTTAAGTCCAGGTTCTGAGGAAGACATCTGTGAGGATGTAGCGTCCCGGTCGAGTTCTGCTTTTCAGTTGTACTCGAACTTGAAGTGGAAGTTGCCGCCGGACTCGAAGGGGTTGAAGTGGAACGGCCAYGCCCGCTGTCCGCCGCCGCCGCCCTGCTGGTTCTCCGGGTCCAGAGGGTCCTCGCCTTCATCGAACTTCTGCCTCATCTCTGATGGAGGAGCAGAGAAAGAAGAGAGAGGAACTTTATTCACACAAGGATCTCTGTTTAACTCTCTGTCCACAGAGAAGGACTTTGGTTGTTGTGACACTTAGGTCTAGATCAACTGATCTTAATCTTCAGGCTGAGGTTYCCACTGGGCTTGTTAAACACTAAATAGAGGGTTTTGAGAAGATCTAAAGAACTCTAATACGTTTTAAAAATCACTGGCAATAACATCATCAGCCCTAAAGGTTACAAAGAGATATAAATAGTGGTTATAAATTATTAAAACTTATAAAATCTGACATGGATCTCAGTTATGAAAAGTTTGTATCTTTTAATCAGAAATATTTGAAGTCATGAGACTTTGCAGCTTTTATTTTAAAAAAAGAGTTAAGACAACAGACAAGTTTTAACAGACACATGATAAACATTTACTTCAACTATAAAAATGATAGGAAGCTTTTGTGTTAGCTCTGCTGCTAWTATTAGCTCGAGAGCTAAACCCACAAATAAGTAATTAGAAATGCTAATAAATAAATTAATAAAAATATTCATTTATATTTATTAAATCTCTCACGCTATATCGTCACTTATATACAGGATGTATTAGCTTGGGAGCTAACGCTATATCACCAAATTTATATAACGAATTTATTCATGTATAATATGATCATTTTTTTGAGCTTAAAAGCATAAAAAATCTAATCATCAAAAACCCATGTATAAAACTAACCCCCCACCCCCATTTTATGGATGATTTTAGTTAAATTTCTAGTATTATACATGAATAAATACAGTATGTATTAGCTCAGGAGCTAACACTATACAGCCGCATATTTACGTATTAGCTCAGGAGCTAACGCTATATACAGTATGTATTAGCTTTGGTGATCATTCAAAAGCTAAAAAGGCCAAAGCTGAGGTTCTCCTTCCATGAAGCAGCTGTTGTCCTCCATCTATATTTTCAGTTACCCAGAATGCTTTAAGGCATAAATAACATTGTGACTTCCATGTGGCTAATAGTTTTTAAATTCTATAAAAACTAAGCTTACACTAYTTTTATAGTCTTGATTATATAGTTGAAGTAAATGTTACAACTAGTCAGGGTTCCTTTAAGGATTGCTATACAAAAAAGTGCGACATTTACAGTATCCTATCATGAAAATGTAGAGAGTGTAAATGTGAGTTCCTGACCCGGATCAGTGAGGACTTCTTTAGCCGACGCAATGTCGATAAATTTCTTTTCCGCTTCCTTTTTATCAGCTTCAGACTGGAAGTTGTCCGGGTGCCACTGCTGTGCCAGCTTCCTGTAGGCCTTGATGATCTCCTGCTTGTTGGCGTTCCTGAGGAGCAACCGGAGAAGATGCAGGGTTTTTATGAAAGTGCGCAACTTTTAGTCGGGAGGAAGCAACATGTTGGAGAACACACCTGCCCACACCGAGGATCTTGTAGTAGTCTCTCTTCCGTGAGATTTTGAGCAGCTTCTGTGCTCGTTCCAGCCCCTCTCTGATGGTGTTGCTGTCGGCGTCGAACTCTCTCGCCTCCTGGTAGTCCTCCACAGCTACGGAGCCACAAATTAAAGTGGTTCAAGAACAAATGCTGCAACTTTAAATCCAGGCCTAACAAAAACCCTCCGGCTCACATGAATAAGGCCCAGCAAAGACCTTTATTAGTTACAGTTAAGAGTTTTACCTCTCATCTGAGGAGCTTAACTCCAAACAGTCCATTTACTTCTTGCGCCTCACCTTTCTCATAGTCCTGGTTGAGAATGAAGGCCTCAGCTCGGTCTCGGAGGATGTTAGCGTTTCGGGGGTCTCTCTGGTGGGCCTCTGAGCACACGTCGATGGCCTCGTTTGCCAACTGAAGCTGTGATTTAGAAACAAGTTTCAGGAGAAATATTCAGATTAAAACAAGCACTTTTCTAAAAGCTTGACGTCCTCAGAGTTACATGAAACCTGATCAACGCTTTATGTGGATTGWAGTTTGAACACGTCGAACCTTAACGAGGCAGAAGCAGATCCTCTCCTTCGCCAGGTTTGTGTAGAACAGTATGTTGGGTTCGGTCTTCATCGCTGATTCGTATTTCTCCATGGCATCTTGGTACCTGGTGGTGGAGAACACAACCACACAGATCAGGCAGGGATAACGTTATTTCCAAGCTTTAAAAGGGATCCACGATTAGTTGTAACATTAGACTTTATGTGATAAGCATAAATTTTAACTGTAAAATAAAGACTGTAAAAATACTGTAGGCTGTTTAGTTTTGTAAATTTTTAAAATATCTTTTAATACGGATGGAGTCATTTTA